TGCAATCACTGAACTGATAGCCTCCAAAGAGCGACATGATCTATGCCTTACAAAGACCCCTCAGGATACAGGAAAGGTGGAGGGGGTGGGGACAGGAGAGGAAAGTAGAGGCAGGGACAACACGAGGGGGCAGATGGTGCATTGCAGAGATGTGTAGAAAGCAGACCTGTTGGGACTGGAACCCGATTGGCATGGAAGGCAGGAGAGGGAGGTGAACTGCCCAGAGCCTGCGGGATGGCAGTGGACGGTCGCAGTGGCTGGGCCAGGCCAACCTGCCCAGAACAAGAGGCACATCTGAAGCGAACATGTCGAGTTAGGCTTGGAGAGCGATCGGTTTGAAGTGGCTGTGGGATCAAGGATGCAGACGCTTAGTCGCTTAGTCGGCCTGGGTACCCCGCAGATCCCCCAGGTAGGCAGGACAAGCCGGGAGAGATGAATGGGGAGAACTGTGTAGACTCAGACTTTTGCATGGCCTAGGGCTCCATGGGCTAAAACATTTGAGGCCCACTGAGGGGCTCCCCCACATACAGGTGTCTCTGCAGCTGGCCTCCGGAGCCTTCCTGCTCAACCAAGCCTTCTGTGAGGCCATCCACATCCCCATGGACAAGCTCAAGTGGACCTCACCCTTCACCTGCCACCGAGTGTCCCTCACCACCCGCCAGCCTGAGTCTAAGACCTCCAATCCCCAGCTGTGCACCGGCCCCTCATCTCGGTACCCCTCCCGTGACAGCTTCTCCCTGGAGCCTCTGGTGGAAGGCGAGCCGGGCTGGGAGCCCAAGGCTGTGGTAGAACACACAGGGAAGCTGTGGGCCACGGTCGTGGCGCTGGCATGGCTGGAGCACAGCTCCGCCTCGTACTTCGTGGAATGGGAGCTTGTGGCCGCCAAGGCCAACTCCTGGCTGGAGCAGCAGGAGGTGCCCGAGGGCCGCACGCGGGGCACGCTCAAGGCTGCTGCCCTCCAGCTGTTCGTGCTCCTGAGGCACTGGGATGAGAACCTGGAGTTCAATATGCTCTGCTATAACCCGAATTATGTGTAGTTGGGGGAGAAGGAGGCTGGGGCAGGGGAGGAGAGGAAGGGGCCATTTGGGCCTAGTGGGAGGGACTTTTGAAGCTGTAGTCAATATACTGGTGGCTAGAAAGAGCCTTGGACTGGCAATCAGGAGGCCTGAATTCAACCCCAATTTGCTACTACCCAGCTGTGAAGCTTTCGGCCAGCCCATGCCCCTTGTCTGGGCCTCGGTTTGCCCACCTGTAAAATCAGTGGGTGAGATGAGGAAGTTGGACCGGATCTCTAGAAGGCTCAAAGATTCCTTTCTCCCTGGACATGTGGGCAGCTGTGGGGTTTACCGCCACTAGCAGGTGGGGAGAAAATATGACTTAAATCTGAGTTCTCTCTGGAGGAAGATCATGTGGGCAATGCCCCCAAATATAAGTGTAGATGAGCGAACCCAAAGACTGCAAGTAACCAGACCTGCGGGTTAGGTGCTGGAGACCACCCCTGCCTGCCGCACTGTGGGACGGGCCCTTGTCGCCATGAGGAGAGCCCAGGACCCCTAAATCCCACTTACAAACTGGAGAATCATCCTTTCCCACACTTTAGAAAAGAGTCACCTGGGGGCCTTTTCTTGTAGCTCGGAAGCTCTTCCTATATGTTAGTATCGATTTGCAGATTATTTGTGACTTCCTAAGGAGAAGCAGGTAGGAAGGACAAGGGAAGACACCCTGCAAGCCGAGGTGTTAGAATTAAGCCACAATCTGTGCAAAAATAGACTCAAAAGAATAGACGTGGTCACAGAAGTCAGTGAGAAACCAGACGACACCTTAAATAATTTACACACTTTCAGGAATTGCGTAACGTGAACTCTACCCACTTGTGCCAAGGGGCTAGAGAGGCACCCTGTGTCAGCTGCATTCTGGGATGGTGGGGGTCCTTTCTAGCCCTGCCACAGTGTAGGGGGAAAGGCGACTCTTTGCACCAGAGAACCAGGCGTGGCTGCAGTGCATTTGGGGCAGCAGTTTCAGCCGCGAGACCTGATTTATCAATGAAATGAGAGACTCTCGAAGCTCCAAGGCAGAGAGGCCCTGGGGACTTCCCTCTCTCAGGCCCAGTCACCTCTGCAACTCAGACTCCCCTGGAGGTGGGTTTGGACCTCACCAAGGCAGCCCACTAGCTTGGACCCCAGGCTAAATCCACACTTCATACACACACACACACCCTCCAAGGCCCCAAAGACTCAA